CGGGCCCGCGCGGCCCCGGTGTCCTCGCCCTGCGGCCACGAGGTGGGGCCGGCTGACCCTCGCGCTGAGGCTGGGCAGTCCGTTTCCGCGCTCGCTCGTGGCCGTTTCTCTGCACCGGATGTGGGCGGGGCGGGGCCCTGCAGGGGGCTGGCTCTGTCCCAGTCTTTGTAGCTTTTTAGGGGGGCGAGAGAAGGGGGGCCGGAGCAGGGGAGGAGTCGGGGGAGGAAGCGGAGCGGACGGGGGCCAGCGCTATACGGGGAGGCAGGCACAGAGCAGGGGCGGGGCCTGTGCGGTGGGCGGAGCCTCGCGCGGTGGGCGGGGCCTGGCGCGCGGTGGGCGGGGCGTGCAGGAAACACGTGGGGTGTCTCTGCGCCCCGGCGCCGCTGCTCCCCGACACCGGGGCCTCTGTGTCCGGGTACCCCGAGTCCTCTTGGCCAACTCGCCCACAGCTGGTGCTGGCAGCGGTTCGGGGTGTGAGCGCGGGCAGCCGTGCTCCGCGGCTCCCACTTGGATTTGGGGAGCGCCCCTTGACAGGTGGGTAAACCGAGGCTGGGGCACCTGCGGCGGGCCGGTGTCTCCAAGGGCAGCCCCAGCTTTCTAGGCTCAGCGGCCCGACCGCTCGCCCTCAGAATCTGGGCCCCCGCCTTGCCTAACGATCCAGGGACCCCTCTGCGCGGGCCGTTCTGGCCCACCCGCCGGCCGGTGTCCAGGGCCCGGGCCCCTGCCCGCCCGGCCCCGCCTGCACCCTGTCCCTCTGGGCCGGCCGGCCTCTGCGCCGCCCCTCTGCTGCCCACGGCCTGCTTGGGAAAGAGGGTCTGGACTTCTGCCGCCCTGGGGAGGGACACACTCAGCTCGTGGCGACCGTGAACCCTGAGAAGTCTGGCGCCTTTCGTGTTCCAGAAGGGGAAATAGATCAATAGTCTGGAAAGAGCAGAGGACAGGGAGCCCCGGGAGCGGGCGGCCAGGATGCAGCACCCCGCCCCGCCTCCAGCTGGGGGCCGCCCGGGGACCTGGGTGGCCCCCCCGAACCCCGAGTGCTGGGGCTGCCCTGAGCCCCGCCCTCCTCCCTGGCCTGCCACGCGGGCACCTGGCGTCGGTGATGAAAATTGGGATTTGGGGTTCGGGGTAGCCAAGTGCCAGCTCCGGGGCCGCCTGCCGTTGCCGCAGCCCCTCCCGGGGCCGAGCCCGCTGGGGGTCCCGCCTGGTGCGGAGAATTCTCCCTGAATCACCCATCCCTGCTCGGTGCTCAGAGTGGCCCACGGGAGGGGGCGGGGCAGTGCCCAGGAGCTGCGTCCTGGCGGGCGGCTCCCTTTCACTGTCCAGCCCGGGCCTGGACAATTCCCCGGAGGACCCCAGGGCTGCAGGCCCGAGGCCCGCCCTCCCCATGCCCTCACGTCGCCCACGGGTGTGCCCACGCCCGCTGTCCCGGGCAGCCGGGGCCCGGACGAGACGCCCCCAAGCCTCCCTGGGCTCTCTGGCCTTTGAACAGGGGGAGCAGCACCGGCTCTGACCTCACTGGCCAGCAGGGGCGGGGAGCGGCC